CCTGTGGGCCCCGCTTGCCAGCGAGCGCTTGTCGACCGTTGCAGCCTGAGCAGGACCAGGTCCACGGACCCGACCGTTGGAGCCCGATCCCTCCCTGGGATTTCAAACCCGCCGTCCGTCCCCGCGCGAGTACTGATCCGACGGTCCTGGAGCCTTCCTTTCGCTCCCCAGCTTACCCGATTATCACCACTCCCTCTGCAACAGACGAAAGCCTCTCCCTGACCTCCTCCTAGATCAGGTCCCCCAGATCAAGAACCCCAGAAACCCCATCGAGCCCGAAGATTTGGCGAGATTCGAGGGTCTATTTTGCTCCTCAGCGTTGAGGAACTCGATCGTCGATTCGGTGCGCTGGTTCGAGCATCTTGTCTGGGATTCGAGGAGGATTTTCGGTGAAAGATCGTTTCTTGGATCTCCTGTCTCGAGAAGGGTGCGCGGTTCGATGCTGAGGCGGAGCAGCGGCTTGTGACACTCAGATCTGGTGTGAGGAGGAGATCAGATGCCGGTCGTGACACGGTCGCTGGTCTCCGCTGCCCGTGGCGACGGCGCGGGCGCGCTGCCGTGGGGCTCCGCGTCGGCCGCGCCGGCTCGGAGGCACGACGCGAGCAAGGGCTGCCACCACCACCACGGGCTCAAGGAGAAGCTCCGCGCGCTCACCCAGGACTACGAGCAGCAGAAGCAGAAGCAGCTGCTCGCTGCGTCGCAGGGCGGAGGGGCCGCCGCGCGGCAGCTCCGCCGCAGCATCCGGTGCCTGAACGCGACCGAGGTGGCCAACGACGAGAACGCCGAGGAGGAGGACGGCAGGGTGGCCAAGCGCCGCTACGACGCCTTCGCTCTGGTCCCCGAGGCCGCGGTGCTGAGGGAGAACGTGGCTCCTCCGCAGGAGAGAGCGCCGTCCAACGACAGCCACGTTGTCGTGCTCGCGCCGCAGGCGAAGGAGAACGTGGTGGGCCGCGGCGCCAACGCCATGTCCTGCCCCATCAAGAAGGCGGTGCCGGCGCTCCCAGTGCTTCCGGTGCCACCGGCGAGGAAACTCTCTCTGGGAGGGGCTGTGGGCGGCAAGCTGAAGGCCGCCGGGGAGGCCGGGGCCGGCACTGACGAGGCGGCGGAGAGCCGGATCCTCGTGTTCGTGAGGCTGCGCCCGATGTCGAGGAAGGAGAAGGAGGCCGGGTCAAGGAGTTGCGTCAAGATCGTCAACAGGAAGGAGGTGTCCCTCACGGAGTTCTCCTCAGAGAACGACTACCTCCGGCTGAAGCGTGTGCGCGATTCCCAATTCTGCTTCGACTCGGTTTTCCCTGATTCGACGACGCAGGCAGAAGTCTACAGCACCTCGTAAGAGCACAAAAATCCTACGCTTACATTAAATGCAAAGGGAGCACCCAATTTTCAACTGATGCACACATTCCATATTATTGCCTACTCATCTCGATACGGACAAGACAAAAAAAATTCAGACAAGTACTATTTTTCTTATATATGTGAAGATAACAAGCACAATCTTCTAATGAAAGAAATCTGCTATGAAAGATAACAAGCAAAATTCAGACTAGACGCACACAAGTTGATAAGATTATGTTGGATTTTCATGTCATGGCAACTATAGTAGTGCTTTGCTTACCTGATGAAGAAAACTCCATGGGAAAAAAAAAACTCATGTCCTACTACTTCATGACAGATTTATACTATTGTTTGCTTCTTTGATGTAAAAATTCAGGAAAAATTTCATTCAAATGTAGCATCCAATTTTCATATTATTGTTTCCTTAGTTATCTTATGATGACAATGAAATTTACCGATGAAACTGTACAGGTTTATGAGATCATACACCAGATAATATCTGCCCATAATTCATTTCTCCATTTCTGGTCCTGCAGAACAGCAGACCTTGTGGAGGGTGTTCTGCAAGGTAGGAATGGGACAGTGTTCTGCTATGGAGCTACAGGGGCTGGTAAGACCTACACCATGCTTGGGACAATGGAAAACCCTGGCGTAATGGTGCTTGCAATACATGATCTGTTCTCCAAGGTGACGCAGAGGAACCACTCAATTAAGCTGTCATACCTCGAGATATACAATGAGACGGTGAGGGATTTGCTGTCTCCTGGTAGCCCCCTTAACCTGAGAGAAGATAAGCAGGTACATGAACTGAAATGCTTGTCCATGTTGTAACTATTGAAAGCAAGTTTTGTTCAGTGAATTTAATTACTATTGTGATTCCTAGCTAGTAGTTAGTTGTAAGTACTGGATATGGTAAAAGATTAACCCTGTTGTAGAAAATCCTCAGTTCAGACAATGGTATGTATGTACTAAATTAACTATTATCAGTGGATTGAGTAGTCAAATGCATCAGTTCTGAACATATGCCCTTTTTGTACATTTTCTCCACATGTTTTGATAAGCCTCCTTAATAATGCTATTCTAACAAAAAAATGCGGCATTTCAGGGAACTATTGCTGCTGGTCTTACCCAAAGAAGTGTATACTCCACAGACGAGGTATGAGTTGTTTCTTGGGCATGATTAGATTGCAGTGGCTTTCAAGCAAAAATGAGAGGAACCTTCTTAGTTGATTATATATGCTTGTTTTCCAGGTTATGGAATTACTTCAGAAAGGCAACAAGAATCGAACAACTGAACCGACTCGAGTAAACGAGACCTCATCACGTTCTCATGCGGTACTGCAGGTAAAATCCATACACATACTTAACCTAGGGGAAATAGTTTCTATAGTAAAACCACTCACCACCTTTGGAAATTACCTTTGGAAATTTATAGGTTGCTGTAGAATATAGATCCTTGGATGGAGTTAACCTAAAAGTCGGAAAACTGTCTCTCATTGATCTTGCTGGATCTGAAAGAGCTCTGGCAACAGATCAACGCACACAGAGGTCGATTGAAGGAGCAAACATTAACCGCTCTCTTCTTGCACTGAGCAGTTGCATTAATGCCCTTGTGGAGGGTAAGAAACACATACCATATCGCAACTCCAAGCTAACCCAACTCTTGAAGGACTCACTTGGAGGATCCTGCAACACCGTCATGATTGCCAACATTAGCCCCTCTCATCTTTCCTTTGGCGAGACACAAAACACGCTTCATTGGGCTGATCGTGCCAAGGAGATAAAAACAAAGGTTTGAGATTGTTAATTTGTGAATAAAACATTGCACATTCTACTAGGTAAAACTCATGACAAAGTGGAATCATCTTATTGTTTTGCAGACCCAAACCACTGTGAATGAGGAGGTTCTGGATCAACCAGATTCTAAAACTATGCTTGTACTGGAGCTTCAGAAGCAAAACAGTGTGCTGAGGGAGCAGTTAGCGAAGCAACAACAGAAAGTATTGATTGCCGAGGCTCAGTTACTTGCTTCAAAAACCTTGCCACAACAATCTCCTGCTCCCTCGTCTCACGTTGCAACTCCAGGCTCAAGTCAAAGAAATACCAGACGATCTATCTTGGCTGGGAACCACTTCAACACACTAGACTCCAAGAGGCCTACAGCCGACAACACACAGGTCAGGGAGCTGCAGAGGAAAGTGAAGACATTGGAGTCTGAGATCGAGAAGATGAAAAAGGAGCACATATTACAGCTAAAGAATAAGGACGAGTTCATCCGTGACTTGATCAACAGGAAGGCTCCTAACAACTGTGAAGAAGCCACATGTGATAGAAGAGTTGCCACGAGGGCGAGCCAGCGAAAGGCACAGAGAGACGCATCAGCTGCAAGCGAGCTGAAAAGCCCCAGCCACCGGTTTACATCACCAGCACCAACTGCAAAGAAGCGTACTTTCTCGGACATTGGAGGCAACAGCCCTTCAGTTCTTGCTGCCAATGGAAGAAAGACTCGAAGCCATGTAGCAACAGAGACACCGAAGAAAGGTTCTTCCAAGCTGCTTCAGGTATATGCATATAACTCTTAAGTTCTTGCTTTACACAAGATTAATGGAGGCTTTTGAGTGCTTGTATTAGTTTTTATTGACGCCTCTCATTGCATTTCAATTCCTTGCAGCCAGGATTTGCACGGCAAATATCCAGTCATCGAAACATTTAAGATGCACAGGAGAGACTGCCTACAGTGGATAGAGATGCTCATATTAATTGCAGTTTCTCATATTAATTGCAGTTTAGTCGAAATCCATTCTAATGTTTATTTACATTTTTTATTCATATTGAGTTATTGGAACCTTAAACATTTGCTCACGGGAGATACATGAGCTGATTTTTAAATTAACTTGAGGCATAGTTCTCCTTTTCTTCTCTCTTGCTTAAGCTTATTATTTTTTTTCCATCTTATTACTGCCTACAACGGACAGAGATGTTCATATTAATTGGAGTTTAGTCGAAATCCATCCTAATGTTTTTTCTTAGTTTTTTTTATCCATTTTAAGTTACTGGAACTGTAAACATTTGCTCACGCGAGATACATGAGATGATTTTTAAATTAACTTGAGGCACAGTTTTCCTTTTTTTCTCTCCTGCTTAAGCTTATAGTTTTTTCCATCTTACTACTAACTGCTATTGAAATCAGAGAGGCAGCAATAATTTTAAGCAGCTTAGGGAATTGGTGTTTTCTATGTGTGCAGTGCCCATTCTTGTCATTTCTGAAGGTTGTCCAAGTGGAGATCATAAACATTTTCAGTATCAACCTGTACACTCAAGTGACCAAGATAATAAAATGAAGGCAAAATTAAAAATAAGATTATTTCAATTGTTCCATGTACAAGTTCTTTTTTCTCCATGTACAAGTTTAATTTTATGTTGGGGGTAGTAGCAGACCTCATAGCTTATATGTTAAAAAGTTTATATTATGAACTTTTAAGGGTTTGCAAGCTGCTTCTTTGCGATAACCATATGCTTCGTATGAACATATATCATTAACTAATGCTACACCAATATTTGAAACTACACGTAACTCCCAATGTCTTCAACAAACAATATATTGTCCTTCCAGACATGCTACGAATTGCAATCAATTCTAGCTCTGATCCTTCCAGCAACAAGGGTTATGGGGCGCTGCAATGCTGGTGCTGTTTTTCTAGTTCATGTTGAACTCCCTCCTCAACATTTGCAGTGTCGGAAGGCCCAGCTTCTTCTGCTGACTTAGACTCATCCAGTTCCATTTCTCCAGAGCTCGTACCACTGCAACTCTCGCTATCATCAGAGCAGCTACTGGTACCATCCTCTGAACTAGAAGTATCACTTAGCATGTTGAAAATCGTAATGCTCTCTTTCTGTGAGCTGTGGAACGAATGACTCCTGTACTTGTCATGGTACAGTGGCAAGGAGGAGCCTTGCTGCTCCAAGCCGGGCTCGTCCCTGCCAAGGCTGTATGATCCGTACAGCTTTCTCTCCACGCCTTCCTTGGCTTTCACCATTTCACCCAGCTGTCCCAAAGCTTCATTTGACGAGGCATCTTCAGCTGCCTTCTGCTCGAGCTCCAAGATCTTCTTTCCTAAGATTCTCCTCTTGCTGTGAAGTGAGCGCTGCATTTTCAGGAGATGGAAGTGAGGCCTAGGAGAAGCTATAAAGTCTGAACAATATGAAATTGGAGGATAAGCACAGGTTCCAGTGTGCATACCCTCTTCTCCAGGAACTTCTGCAATCCATTGTCTTGGAGCCTTTTCTTCCTCCAAAAGATGCAGCAAAACAAAATGGCTACAGCTTGTATTACGATTACCACAAGTAGGAAGATCAACAATAGAACATAGCTAGGTTCTCCTAATCGACAGAAGTCATTCAGTCAGTAATGGCGTAATTTTGAAACAAAAGCAGAAGGGGAAGCAGTTGAACTTCACCTGGATCAGCCTGCACAAACTTGGCTTTGGCTTGCCTGCAAGTCCAAGCAATCTTTTGCCCTAGCAACACAAGGAAGTCAGGACCACATTATGCCGACAAACAAATGTGATGCATAAGATAAACATACTTCTTGTGTAGCACTGCGTGGTGTTGCTGATCCCTGTCTCTAGAAATTTCAGGAGAGGAAGTTGTTGCAGATTAGTTGATTTGGAATACTGTCAATTAACTTGAGATGTGTAATTCCAGTATATATATACAAGGACTTACTTGCTGCAGATAGAAGAGTTAGAACAACAGTCTCGTCTATGGTGAAGTCATTCAGATCACTACTGGACAGCAAATTTGATAATTCCCCTGGAAGACAATCAATATCTCATGTGATATTCAATATAACTTTCAAGGAAAAGAATGGCATTGCCATTTCAAAATGACTTATATAGGCATAAAAAGGAACAAACCAGGATACTCTCCAGTCCAGTAAATAGTTCCAGTTGCCGGAGCCAACAACGTGAACAAAATGAATGATGGCTTCTTCGCCGATACATAGGTATAATCACCAATTGTCTGGATTAATTTTCCTTCCACTATGGTCTTAGCGACATACATGGAAAATCCTGAGCAGTCAAGGACTGGACCTACATGAATCACTGAATCATTTGCTGTTTTGGCAAGAAACTTTCTCATGTCACCATCAGGAGAAATCGAGTAGAGGGTCCCATCTAGCGAACCAATTGACATCCAACCTGTTACATAAATTGAAAATATTACCATTACTGAAGTATACAGCAAACTCGAATAGAAAAGGACAGCATATAGCAAACTAGTACATAGGTGTGGTCAAAACTGTTTGAGATAGCAAATTGATGACTTTGTAGCAAACAAGAAGAATGGATAACCGACTAAACTAATTCTTCTAAGAGAATAGCGGAACAGAAAAATACTATTGATACAGTGAAATTCATTGAAAATGATTAGAAAATGAATATGGCCCGGTTTATAATGATATAAGATATTTCTTTACCATTGGAATCGACAGTTGGTAAGTTTTTCTCAATACTGATTGGACCAATATTCTGCGTCCAAGAAATGCTTCCTGTCGAAACATCAATCCCCACCACGATAGACTTCCGTGGAAAGATGATGTATAGGCACGCACTGTTTCCTGGTGCAACTGTCATCACTTTGCCGTGTGAACTCAAGTCTTGGATCCATCTGATCCCACGGTTGTCAATGTATAGGGAATAGAGCTGGCCTTCAGTGTTCGATATCTGAAAGAACATGGTTGTTGCACAATGAGCTAGTACAGAAAGTGGACAAAACTATGGCAAGTGTAAACCATAATAATATGCACTGGTATGGGCCTTACATAAAGTGCCCCCTCGCACTGATCAAGAACAGGAGCTGAATCGAAATAGCAGCCAGAGACGTTTCTCTTGCAGCCAAGACGGTAATCGAACAAATTAAGTGCAGGCCCAATGCTCCATTGGAGCTCGCCTCGGAGCGAGAAGGCGAATAGTCCCCGTTTTCTGATGGTGAGGAAGAGAGACGAGTAGCTGCCACTGATGGCCAGGCCAATGATCTCCTCGGACCTCCCTGATGTCGCATTGTGGCTGAAGAAAACCTCCAATGCTGGCTCGGCAGTGTGCACGTTCTGTGGCGTGACCTTTATGACCTTGTCATCTGCCACCAGATACACCTGCAGCACAACCCACACAATTAATTTGAACAGACAAGAGCCAACAGTCCAACACAACTGACCATCAGATATCACGCTCATTGGCTCATGTTTCCTCGGTAAAAAGGAGAAGATTAGATTCCAGGATTTGCATTTCATATATACTAACAATGTATCTCTGCTGGTGTTAAATGGCAGTGACTCTGTGATACAGTATTATGCTATCCAACTATATGAAGATCCATCTAGACCCGCTTCAAGAAACAGGTACATCCTATTCCATGTCAGTCATGATTTCTAGAAAGTTTCCGTTGAACTTAAACCTTAAGAGGGCCAACCTGTGTACCAAAATGGTTTCAATTGTTTGTGACATCCTAATGCAGTTTCAGGTGCAAGTGTTGCTGGGTACATATTCAGGTTGATAAAAGCACCATTTGCAAAATGATCGTTCGTCAATTTGTGCAACCCAGGTTTGTGCATTCCTGCCATGGTTGTATTATCTCCTTCCTCCACCACCTTTGTAGAATTCCCATAAAGTTGCTGTGTCTATCATAACAATAATTAAATTGTTGTTCGACAAATGGTTCATATTTTGCCAAAATGGATGTAACTGAGTTCGCTATTGGCCCCTGGCAAAACAAAATCAAATATTTCCTTTGATTCGTGTTGTATGTATAGTATACACCTTTTCCTTTCTGACAGATTGCTTGCATTTATTTTTTGCACACACCTGTCATGTGGGGCCGACAGTACAGCCGCCGGCCTCGAACACGAGGTGCAGCCAGGGCAGTCCCCAAGGGGACGCATGGCCTGGAAGAACCCAAGGAGGTTTAGACGGCTGGAGGGGCTGCAGTCTCTAAGGCAATTAAGTAGAAGTTGAAGAGATTAAGGGATTAATTAGCCAGCTAGCAGTTAATGGCTGGCGCAAGTAGCAATGGAGCAAAGCTCCTATATGTACCCCTGTACTCGTTGAAGGAAGTAAGAAAGAAGTTATTCCCTAATCTTCCCCTCTATCTGCCACTCTTAATCTCACCCCCTGTTGTGGTAGTCAGGCAAAAACCCTGGCACCTCCATTACCTGGTTCGAGTTATCAGCTAAGAAGTCAAAGACCTCCAACTCTAGGAGCCCAGGTCCTTGACAACTTGGTATCAGCTAGCCGGCGATCTTCTTCCACCTCCGCCCCGCACTCCAACCCTGCAGCCACCGCACCATCAACCCCTGCTTCACCCACCACCTCAGCAGCCTCCACTTCCTTGCCAATGGTTGAGCCGTCCACCGCCGACCTGGCCAAGATGATCCAGGCCCTCACCACCACCATGAACGCCACCATCAGCGACCTTCAACAGCAGGTCGCCGCTCTTCAGCAGGCGCAGCCACCGGCGTTCTACGGCTCAGGATTGCGAGGCTCGGGCCACGGTGACCACCACAGGGACCGCCCACCTCGGTTCCAGAAGCTGGACTTCCCCAAGTTCGACGGGAAATCCGATCCGCTGGCCTTCCTTAACCGATGTGAGTCGTATTTTCATCAACAGCGTATTGGAGCCGAGGAGCAAGTTTGGATGGCGTCATACAACCTTGAAGACAGCGCCCAGATGTGGTTCCTCCAAGTGCAGCAGGACGAGGGTACGCCGTCTTGGCGCCGCTTCTCTGAGCTCCTCAACCTCCGCTTTGGGCCGCCGATCCGCTCCAACCCCCTTGGTGAGCTGATGACGTGCAAGCGGACGAGCTCGGTAGCGGAGTACCAGAACCGCTTCGAGGCGCTGCTTCCTCGCGTCGGCACACTGTGGATGTATGGTCAATCATAAATGTACCTCTAATTGAACTACAACTATTTCCAGGGTTCAAAACTACAGTGAAGCATTTATCGATGTGATCCTAAATGTCTGTGTGCATCCAGCAGGTCTATTACAATGATCTTTGACTCTTTTAGCAGCATCTGACTACTTGCCTTTTGCTGAGCCTTGGAGTAGGAATGTACGATCTACACCATTGTGCTATAACTCTTCCTACCATGTGGGGCTCTTTTCCTTCTTAATTCTACTTCTTAGTTTACAGCTGACAAGAGATCAAGCATGCTACCCTGACTGAGTTCAGATCCTCCTAGTCCTAGGTGCCTGCAGAGATGCTTTTGAAAGATGGTGCTTTAGAGGAAGTGCTTCAGAAATATAAAGGCTACCACGCTAGATTGTATTTCCAGAAATTGAGATGCTGATATATATATATATATATATATATACAGTTGATAAATCTTTTTATGATGATTTAAACCAGTGTGGAATATTTACCAGCGCCGCATAAAGCCTGAGATCATCCAGGTTACGATTTGTATATGGTGCTTACACATCTCTAGCAGTACATAGATGATAGTTGTTGTATGAGGAAGTATAAGATCGCGGGAACCCCTTTGTCTTGCAGACTTATTTCAATAATTTTCAATGCATTAAAATTGTTGTGTCATCTATACATTTTTATGAAATGAAAACAGATAGCACGGTATGATGATATAATAAATAGTGGTTGATGAGTTTTTGATAGCCCTGGAAAAAAAAACCACCCGTACATTCCTGATTTCTTGTAAAAGTCAATTTTCAGTTGTCTGCCCAGCTATCAGATATGATAGTTGTAATGAAACAAAGATGGTTTCTCATGGGCTCGCTTGAAAGGAAAACAAGCCAGCATTTCCTAGGACATGCATGTCTCTTTTTCGCTTGCTGTGCCCTGTGCTGAATGAGTGCTCCTCTTTGTGTTGGCGTTAAAAAATTTGTTTGTCTCCCGTTGCAACGCACGGGCCACCTAGTTTGTAACGATGGGTTACCTGCTCTCCCTCGAATACAGGGCTGATGCTGTCGTTGCACATGTGGCCGAGGGGAACGATCCAGGCGAAGGACCCGTTGGGTTCAAACCCGAGGAGGTCCTTCCCGGAGCAGGCGACGAGGCGGCCATCGTGCGCGATGGAAGGGGACGAGAGAGCACGGGCAGCGCCCGGCGCGCGAGCTGCAAGGGAAACTGTCAGCGTACCGGCACGGTAGAAACGCAGAATCATTCAAGCCATGAGGCCGCCTCACCGATCTCGCCGCCACCGCCGCCGGTGTCGAGCTTCTGAAGTACCCGCGACTCCGAGCGTGCCGGACCGAACTGGAAGCACACAAGCAAGTACAAGGACCACATCACTCCAGTGGCCATGGCTTATAGAGTGTACTGCGCCCGGAGATGGAAGAACGGGGCAGTTGCTTAGGTCAGGTACTGTGGCCAACGCGGGGCCGGGGCGGTGAGTCCTGGACGGCGGAGGGCCGGAGAGAGGCGCACGCACGATCCAAATGCGCAAGTGAGGGCGCCGCGGCCAGGGGCGGAGGACGCCAGGGGCAGCGACCGTGGGCGGCGGAGTCAGGGGGCAATGCCGGGGCGGCGGAGGCCGCTGTCGGAGCTGAGGGCGGTGACCGGGGCGGCGGTCGACGGGCGGCTGCCGGTGCCGGGACGGAGAGCACGGCGCCGGTGGAGGTGGTTGCGCAGGGAATAGACCCACGAGCGGCGCCGTGCGACAGTTTAGGGAGATACGGAACCGCCGTCTCTTCGGTAACTGGTGCCAGGGTAATGTAGTACTACTAGCCGAGCGCTTTTTCTGCGCCAAACCTACAGTGAAAATGAGATTATTAGCGTAAAAAATTAGCTACTCCATAGAAGGTGAAGGCTCTTGTCAACTTGTGCAAGCCAATCCATTATATACTGTGCATGCCCTTCGGAGACATCTGATTAAAAAAATAGAACCACCAATACTGGTCGAATGCATTATAGATTACATACACAGCTGCTAAAACTGAATTGCATAGGCAAAAATCGTTCTTCAAATTTTGTTACCAACACAAGGAATGCCACCACAACAGAGCATCATCCCCCACCACGTTGTAGGGCGACAGAGTTGTCTAACACATAACATATAGGGCATGATCTACCACAAACACAAGAATGATTTTACTTGAGCAAATTCGAATACTCGTCTTCCAAAAATTTACAACGCAGCATAGAAATAGTTCTGCGGTGACACTAGGTTCAGAACTTTCCAGCCAATCGTCTCCGCATCAATGATAGCCTTGATCTTGGGGGCCTTTCACGTTCGTCAGCGCTGTCTTCACTATCTGAAACGATGACCTTCTCGATGGCAACTGTGTTTTCTTTGGCGGAGGAATTGTCTGAGCTGGAGTCTTTCTGTCCACCAGCAAAGCCAAGAGCCTTGGATTGACTTTTCAGAACTGCTGGTGCCGACAATGGGAGTTCATTGGGTGCCACGGGCTCACCTTTGGGGATTGCTGCTGCTGATGGCAGTTCATTGAGTTTCTTATCGCTTAGGGGATGATTGGGTGGCTTAGAATCCTTTTCACAAGCATTGTCCACTCTAGGCAGCTCAGATTTCAGTGACAGCCTCCTACGTTGCATCTTTAGACCTTGATTGCACTCTTGATTTGATACCATATTAGTGTTTGACAGTTGCTGTTCAGTGTTAGGATTCTGTTGAACCAGTGCAGGACCCCCACTGAACTTTTTCCTTGAAACAGCATCTAAGGGTCTTTTCTGCAAATTGCTGAATCCTGACTGTGAAGACAGATGGTTTGGTGCCATATTTTCATTTTGATCGTCATTTTTCTTTTCAGGATTTACTGATTTCAGTGACAACTTCAGTGCTCTGATATTCCTTCGGTTTCCTTCTGGTGCTTTATACGCACTAGCTGAAGATCCACCAATTCTCCTTGCCAAACTATTCTCTAAAATGCCATCAGAAGATTGCATGGCGTGATCTTTAGCACCAGATGCATATGTTGGAAGATGATTAGGTAACATATCACTGCCATCACTGCTTTTGCAAGGGGCTTCTGAGGTAACAGAAAGACTCTGGCCAGGTAACTGCAAATCCTTTTTACTGCCTTGGTGACCTTTCTTTGAAACCACTCCACTAGCAGTACTGACAGACATGTTCTCTGATGTATCATTCTGTCTGCCTGAAGCATCAGAAAAACAAGCATTAGGATAGGTGGATCCTGCCATGGATGGTAAGTGGCTAGCAACTGGATCTTGCTTGACAGTTTTCATACTCTCGTCAGATCTTTCAGACTTTAGTGATAACTTTTGTCCCAGTAACCACATCTTCCTTTGAGTCCCTTCACAAACTTTTTGAGAAGTATTTGGCAATGATCTCAGGTTATCTGTGCCCTCCATTTGCATATTCTGTGCCTAAATTTTCAGAAAGAAAAAGCAAACCCTCAATAAAATATCAAGATTTATATTATAATGTCGGAACACAAAATTAGCAAAATGAAACTTCAATGCTTGTTTACCAGGACACCAGCATCTACAGAACCCCAACCGCTAGCACCAACAGCAGCAGGACTAGCATACTTCTCTGTCCATAACCGAGCATTTATGTCAAAAACTTGTCTGTTGTATTTGTATTCTCGACTCTGTCTCAGAAAAAAAAAGAAACATAGTTGGATGATGAGCTTAAGTGCATTATGTATCAGTATACCACTATCATACTGCAACTGTCACTGAAATGTTCTTACTATTTCAGCCATCAACCCATCATCCGGGTTTGGATCACTTAGCAGCAAGCCAATACTTGTCAAAACAGTAGCAATATTGAGTGACGGTTGCCAGGCTCCCTGTGCAATAACATCATCATCAATGACAAAGACTGCTGTGGTTACGAATAAGAGTTTCTGAAATTTCAACTGAATATGAATCTCTGAGATTTCTAAGCTATCATTGAGCATGTGCAAAATTCCTACTGATTACCTTTGGGGGTAAATTCAGAATATCAAGGCAAATGCGTCCTCCATTGTCAATATTGGGATGATAAATGGGAGTAACAAAAGTCACATTGGGTGGTTGAAAAGGATACCTGTGTCTCATCAAAAGTTTGAATATCAGAAATGATATTATAGGGGGATACAGATGAGGTTCTCTCGTTTTTCAGTGAGGCATAGGTGTTTGGTTTTGATGTCTAAAGAAGATGCACCTTCCAGGAATTTGTATCTTCAGAATGAAAACTCCATTAGCATAAACCGTCCCCTCAGGGCCCTCAATTCCTTGATTTAAAGAGTAGGGATCAGCATACAAAGTTGCAGTGAAAATTGAGAGACGATTAAAAGTAAATAAAAAATAGTAGAATATAAAAGGACATACTGGCTTCAATACTTGATAATGATGATAAGACATTTTCATCTTCAGAAAGATTAAGAGAAACCCCATGGGGTGGATCATCCAGTAGGAGCTTAATCTCTTTCTGCATTCTCAGATTCAGCCTTGCGGCAAAAGCCATTTCGTGGTTTACAGAAAATTCTACCCTGGACAAAAAATTCAGAGTTTACTTTTCCTTCGGAACAGTATATTACATGTATACACTTGTAATTAGATTAGATCCGAATACAAATAACTTAAATTAGGTTTGGGGGTGCTCGGTTTCCCACAGCAGGAAGGGAATGGAAGGGGTGACCATACCTGGTGGGGCTCGTCGCCGGCAAAGGGCCCGACGAAGACCTGGGCAACTGTCGTAGGACGGCGTCGCCGCTCACCCAGTCCCAGCCGCTGGGAGCCTGGAATAAAGGCCACGGCAAAGAGGCTGCGTGAGAGAGAGACAGAGCGCGCGCGGGGGTTCCTCGAAAAAGAGGGGGAGCACGATGTTGAACGGGAAAGCGGGCTGCGTGAGAGAGAGACAGAGCGCGCGCGGGGGTTCCTCGAAAAAGAGGGGGAGCACGATGTTGAACGGGAAAGCGGGCTGCGTGAGAGAGAGACAGAGCGCGCGCGGGGGTTCCTCGAAAAAGAGGGGGAGCACGATGTTGAACGGGAAAGCGGCTCCGTTTGGATGTCTACGTTGTAGAGCCAAAAAGATAACACATTACCCAAAATTAGATATGTTTAACTTTACTTTCGCTTGATTGATTACTGCAGAATTCTACTACTCCCCCTGTGATTCACCTATAGAATCAGAGAAATGATCAGCAAGTTTGACCTTGCTCATGTTGTACGGTTAATAAAAATAGGAAGAACCACCATGGGAGGGAGAAAAGGGAAATCCATGAGAGGAAGAGGGGAAGGGAGCAGCCATGGGAGAGGGGTAGTGGATGGGAATAAGGGATGTGTTTGCTGTACAGGAGAGGGAGCCATGGGAGGGGAGGGAACGCAGAGGGAGGGGGACGAAAGGAGCGGACATGCTGCGTAGGAGGGGGCGCCATAGGAGAGAGGTAGGGAGGGAAGGCGACGCAACCATGGGAGGAGGCAGGTGGGGCGGGATTTTCAGCAGAGGAAGGGGCTCCACTAGAGGGAGAGGATTGGGGCGCCATGGGAGGGATTGAGAGGAAGGAGAGATTCCCTACAAATCAAGAATATAAGATTGGATCAGGCACGAAGAAGATGGTGGAGTTACCTTCGCCGCCGTCGAGGTCCCTCCGACGACCCGCCGCAGTCTCCGGCGGGCGGCGGCTGCTCGAGAAGTTCTGGGCTAAGACCGGCGGGTGCTGGTTAATTATAATGCTGAAGCCGACCAGCGAACCGGCTGAAAAAGAGGGGAACGTAGGGCGGCGGCGTTTTCAGCCAAAACCGAGGGCGGGAGCTTAGTATTGAGCGCGCGGGTCTCTTGGAATTGGGACAGGTTTCAAAAACATGATTCCGTGAATATCCAAATGCCTGGCATTCAGCTGGCACAATACATCCAAATGGGGTGTCAGCGTATTTTAATTCATTCGACTCTTTTCCCAATAATGTCTTTATCCTCTTGTAATCTAAAATTGATGCTATTTTAGATTTGTATTGAAATACGGTTATGATTTATATTACATGATAAACGGAATTACTGGCGTTCGAACATGCGATCGGATACTGACCAGTCGGACGGTACCATTGCCTAGACCGATTTGGGGCATGTTCGCTTGAACTTATCAGTCGGCGGCTTACCAGTTAGAATCTACAGTATTTTTCTCTCACAATAAAACAGCTTCACCGGCTTCTCAAAGAGCTTTAATACCCAAATTTAACAAGCCCTTGTTTCCTTGGCGCCTCCTTTTCGTGCCCACGCAGGGGCCCGTGCCGCGGGACCACTCGCGCTCTCTCCCGCTTCTCACGCGCATCCCGTGTGCAACACCTAAGCTACTTTTGAAACATCCAGATACAACTCTTGCAACATACGTCTGAAGACA